AACAATAATATATAATAATAATAATAATAATAATAATAATAATAATAATAATAGTTCCTTACATTTAAATAGCACTTTTTCTGGGCACTCAAAGGCTACATTCACACTGCAAGGTTTAGTGCTCTAATCGGATTTTTTCTCAGATCTGAGTTTTTTGCATGGCTGTTCACATTGCTCTTATAAATGTGGCCTATATCAGATTTGCAGTGTGGACAGATCATGGTCCTAAACTGACCCGCATGTGCAAAAGTACATTACGTACATCACAACGTGTCTAATTATGCACACAATGTATACTGTATGAAGTAAGCATGTTGTCAGATCATGCTTATATGAATATTACCCTTTTCACAGACAACCGTGGAGTATTTCATGAACTGCAAATGATTGTTCTGCTACTACTAATGTGTATATCAGCATTTGAAACCTAAAATAAATCTCTTGTGATTGAAAACACTGATCATTTATGATTTATCAGTGGCGTAGCACAAAATGACCCACGAAGTGTTTCTAAACACAGGCCTGTGATCATTAAAGACACAGTGATACAGCAAGTCACATCTTACAAATACCTGGGGTTTTATATGGACAGTGTTTTTTGTTGGAGAACACACATTGAGAGTTTATGCACACAACTACAACAGAGGCTTTATTTTTTAAGAAGGCTGAGATTGTAAGGGGTGGGTAGCCATATCTTGCTTGTTTTTTACCGAGCTATGTTTGAGAGTCTTATTCGCTATGGAATCACAGTCTGGTTTGGAAACCTGTCTGTTCAGCTGAAAAATAAATTGGTTCATATACAAAAAACAGCCATGAAAATTATAGGGATAAAACAATATGAGCCCATCCAGACTCTATACGAACAGGCGGCTATAAAAAGAGCAATACGTATTAGCACTGATTCTAAACATCCCCTTTTCAGTGAATATCAGCGGTTACCATCAGGAAAAAGACTGAGAATGCCAATGTGTAAAACTAATAGACTGAAGCTTTCGTTTGTTCCTACCTCCATAAAACTGTTGAACTCTACCAATAACACTGCTCCTGCAGTACGCTAACACTTGACTGGGTTCTGTGTTTTATTTATTTATATTTATATACGGTCTTATTCTGTAAACAATGTATGTTCTTAACTGTTTGTTCTTAATTGTTTTGTTTTATTCATTTTTACTGTCTGTTTAGACAATGTTGTAGCACCTTTTATGCCCAAGACAAATTTCCTCTCGGGGACAAATAAAGTTAAACCTAAACCTAAACCTAAACCTAAATGCGGAGGCCCCCCTGGGGGGGTACGTCATACATCAATTTGCATATCACTGATGTCATCACGTTCTACCGTTTCTGTTTGTTTAACAGCCTATGATTAATAAGGGGGTATTTATAATTGCACTACACTTTATATAAGCATGTTTATTTAACTAAATGTATTGCTGTTTAAATACAGTATGTCATTATAGATATGTAGTGAATGTGCAGTAATCTCTCATATGTAATAAACTCAGACAAGTTCAGAAACTGTCACTAAAATATCTTTGATTGTGAACAAGAAAAGAATAAACGGTCCAATTAAATTGTTAAAATAAAGGAGAAGCAGATCGGTTTGACTGTACAAGGGAAATACCTTCACACTGCCTGTGCTAAATCATTTGTTGTTGGCATGCAGAGGGGTGATCTGCTCTCGGGCTGCAGGTGGGAGAGGCTGCTGTACGAGGACTGACTGGGCCGCCTGTCAGTGCTGTGAGGCGGGGGAGGGGCCGGCAGCATCACACGCAGCTCGTTGAGAAGAGTAGGGACGGTACAGTATGGACAAATAACAGACTAAAAAAAAATCTCCAATAACAAACACACAAAAAAGTTGCCAGATTTGTCGCTAGGGGGGTCTGAAAAGTGAAAAAAATCGCTAAGTTGGCAACATTGGCGGCAAGCAATCAGAATCAAGTAGTCCACCGCTTGAGAGGTGTTCAGAGATCACAGACCTGTGAACTTTGGTTCCGACCACAGTTGTTCCCAAGAGTTTGATTATTGCGGTTGCCGGATTATCAATTATTGAAAATCGCGACGACGCGGGGCCCCCTAATCACGCGGGGCCCCCCCACGGTGCGTGCCCTGTGGGCCCGTCCGCTACGCCACTGTGATTTATGACAACTACGGTGCGTGGCACGCTGACCACCGATGTAGTAAACTCATCAAGGGTTAATGAGCAGCCGCAGATTAAACTTTGACGGCGGAGTTGGTTTATCTCTCTTTGCAAAGTTATTTAATTTTACTTCGTTGTGAACAACAGACACGTGCAGAAGGGCGGTTTGGGTGCTCGAGCACCTGCCCTTTTTTTCTCTCGGAGAGAAAGTTCTTCCATCTTTGCACACAGATCCCCTATGAGCAACACCCACAACGCTCTTCGGCTTTGCGATCAATCTGTGCCTCAATCATTAACCAGATTAGTAAACAAGCACCAGTTATGCCTTAAAAATCTTTTTCAACATGAACAACCAACTTTCTGTGGTAAAATTGTTGTCTTGTGTGCCATTCTACTGTGCTGCTGAGGAGTAGAGGATGTTTGCAGAACCGAATGATGACGCATGTCACTCAAAGATTACGTAAAAGTCACATGAAATCCGACATAAACGTTCACACTGCGGTCACATTGCAAAACATCAGATCCATATCTGATTTAAGACTACATATGAAAGTGGCACAGATCTGATCTGAAAATATCAGATTCCATGCAGTTTGGGCTGTTCACACTGTCATCACCTGAGTCACATGAGGGGGAAAACATCAGATTCGGGCCACATTTGCCTGCAGTGTGAATGTAGCCAAAGTGTTTTACACATAGAGGGGAATCTCCTCATCCACTCCAAGTGTGCAGCATCCTCCTGGATGATGCGACGGCAGCCATTTTGCGCCAGACCACACACCAAACACCAGCTGATTGGTGGAGAGGAGACGAATGAAAGTGGAGTGATGAAGTCAATTATGATATTGGGAGGGTTGGGAGGCCATGATGGACAGAGGCCAATGGGCAGATTTGTCCAGGATTCTGGGGTTAAACCCCTACTCTTTTTCAAACAAAAAACATAGAAATAGATAAATTGCTCAAATATGAACAAAATAGAATTTAATTGTAACAATATATGGATTATTTCTGTTCTTCATGCCATTCTGTGTATTTAATAAACAAACTTTTACATTTGGCATAACAACATGCTCCATGTTTTATCCACGTGTGCTCTTTTGCATGTGAAAGCAGCAAGGGGTGGATTGTGTGCAGCTAATCAAAGGTAATAAAGTAAACAGAAAATAATAAACAAAAAATTTTGCTTTCCCAAATATTAAATAAAATGAAAAAAATTGTGTTTGAGTTGAGTAACTATTTAAAAGCAGACTTTCTAAGCTTTCAGCAGACTCCTGTTTGTGTAAGAAGTGTTAGCTGAGTTAAAGTTAATTTTTGGATTAATTATGTTGGCTTGAGAAAGCCAACATATAGTATTGGTATGCTATGCAAACATATTATTATTCCTTTTTCTCCTCCTAGGGCTTTAGGGCGTACTCACACTATGCTATCCGAACCGTGCCCAGGCCCATTTCCCGGATCATTTGAGAAGTGTGCATGCGCTGAATCGGGTTCAGGTACGGTTCACTTGGCCGGCACTGGCCCAATTGGAAAAGGTGTGCCTGAGTGCGGTTCACTTGGGCTTTGGCGCGGTACACTTGTGTGTGAGTGCAAAACATGGCAAAGCCCGAAACTGAAAGCGAGACGTGACTTTTAAGGGACTGTTTTAAATGGATTTATTAATCATTCTTACTGTTCAGTGAACGCAAACTGCCATAGCTTATTAAAGACACAAACCCCTCACTGCACGACATGCGCGCCTTCAGCTAACCTCCTAATTCCTGCATCACGAGGACTTTATGATTGTTTATGAGCGTCAAAAGTGGCTGATCTGTTCTGCGAAACATTTGACTGCTTGTCATTGCATTCCGAACGATATAACTGAAGAAATCTCCACTGTGCTGAGCAAGCTGCGCTTCTGACCAGCTCATCATCAATGACGTAAGCGTGCCCAGGCCCAAATGTAATGTGAGTGCGGGCCGACAAGCATGCTTTGGCCCGGTTCAAGGCAACTGTACATAGTGAGAGTACGCCCTTAATGTAATGACCAACAAATTTCTGTCAGACCTTTAGACTAGTCTGACTCGAGTTGCTCTTTTTTCCAACTAATCGAACTTTCGGTATTCCAAAAACTGTGCCGGAAAGCTCTGAAAAATCCTATTGACTTAACTTTACACAATAATTACGAAAGACAAATTCTTAAAAACATGTGATTTTTAACAATTGAAGAGGCTGTCAGCTGAGTAAAATTATATATTAAACTGGGGTGTAAATTTTACCCCTGGGGTGCAATAGCACCCCAAATGTGCCAATCGACTTACAATGACAAGTTATATTTAAAATGTAGAGACTTAAAATACCATTGACTTAACATTGGACCAAACTCCCCACCACCAGCTCTTCACCAACACTAACACCCCGCTGTGGAGACACTAGATGAATAAAGGGACTAAGTTTAAAATTATAATATATTGATATATATATATATATATATATATATATATATATATATATATATATATATATATATATATAGAAAGGAAAACATTGTAATTTGCATTGTTTTTCAACAGTTTCATTGATAAACAAACAAAAAATATATTAAAAAATATTTAGTTTTGTGTTTATTTGTTTATTTTATAAATAAATTTGCTGTTTATTATAAGTTTTATGAGAAAAAATATTATAAATTATAAGTTTGCCGGCTCCTGCCTCTTATTTCCTTAAATTAAAAAAATTCAGATTAATTTAATTCATGTAAATAAAAACAGGCAATAAAATTTGATTGTAATCTCATTATAAAAGCATATAAAACAATGCACCAGCATTCACCATGGACCAGCACTTAATGCATATACAATGTAGAAATGATTGAGCAACAACACAATTAAACAGTTTCATGTTTATAGATGCACACGTTTGTTTAATCAATCATCAATTACCCCTATATTAATTTATTCATTCTAGTACTTTATAAGCAGATTTTACTGAAGTGTATTACTGTTTAAATTAATGTTGAAGCAGATTACAGTATTAGAGAATACCACCTGCATTCTCACTGTAGGCAGCCTCCTTTCCACTATTTTATTTGTTGACTTGACTGTGTTTGTTTATTTCCCATTGATGACGATTTAGCCAGTCCAGCTTTTAGGTAACTCAGAGCGTCTTTATTGGCTTCTTCAGCCACTGCGATTCTTCTCATCTCCTCCAGTTCTCGAACCCAGTCTGCCTTCCCAGCTTCCCTGACTCTGGAAATGAAGAAGTCCAGATGCTGGAGGGTTGAGGCGGAGTCTGGTTTTAGTGCGAACTGAGACAGATGCTTGATGGTCTTGTAAGCATTAAATAGTAGAATTAATTTTTGGTCATCAATGTCCCGTAGATCTTTGTCAAGATTATCCATTATAACTGAAAATCTCTTTGTCTGGTCTTGGACTTTTTTATATTCCTTTGTAAATTCATCAAACTCTAAGACATAGTTTGAAGTGCTGATTACATATTTCTTGTTCTCTTTGACGTGTTTGCTGTAGTGGCACTTCCCTGTGCACACTGTGCAGTAGTCGTTTCTCATGACTTCACATTTTTTGGGACTGGAAACCCACCAGCAGTCAAACTCATGGCAGTTCTCCTCACAGACCGTGCAGGTCGTCGCCTTTCTGTTCTTCCATGATGCATTCTCAATGGGCACCTTTGTTTTGACTGTCTTTTTGACTTTAATGGGGAAGTTTCTACATTGTTCAATCTTGTCCTTGTTCTGTGTCATTGCCTCCTGAATCTGAAGTTTCTCAGACTTTTTCAGCTCTTTCTCCTGGATTCTCTGCTGCAAGTTGCAAATAGATGCTTCTAACTGAATGCGCTCATTCAGGACATATGAAGTCAACTCTAAACTTCTTCTGTTCTTTTCATCCAGAGACCGAAGAAATAGTTTTATACCATCCATACTGTCTTCCCAGGCATCTCTTTGAGCACGAATGTAACGTTCTTTAGTTTGACGAGCATCACCTTGACGATTGTTGAACAGGAAATGAACAGGTTCACCATTTCTTTCTCGTCTGCAGGGGATTTTAGCTTTATTAATGGCACCGAGGACATTTTTAGGATGCATACCATCAGAGTGTGTGATTAAAAACACAATGTTGTTCACAATGTCTTTCCCAAACAGAGACAGAATTGAGCTGATAATGTAGTGTTGTCTGTCTGAGAGACGATTCTTAGATGCTTGAATCACAAAACACACAGCATCGATTTCTCGAACTCCATCACTGCTCTGAAACAGAGCAGATAAATTCTCTGCAACTTCCAGATCTTTCTCCAGTCCTCTAGTGTCTCCGTAACCTGGAGTATCAATGATGGTGAGAGAAATGGCACTCTCTACAGGAAAGACCTCATACATGGTGATTTCAGAGGTTTGGGACTCTGACTGATCTCTGACTTCTTCTTCAGTGATTTCATACCACGTTTCTTCCTCAAATGTCACTCCCAGCAAGTAGTTAACCATGGTGTTGATGATGGTGGTCTTACCAGCGCCAGTCTCTCCCACCAGCAGGATGATTTTGCTTTGCCTAGTGACATCTTTTTTTTCAAAAGTCCATTTTCGGACTTTCCCATTTTCATCAAGTATTTTTCTTTCTGTGTGTAGACGGAAGAGCTTTGGAGGACCTTGCTGAATCAATGTTAGTCTGCGTGGTGAAGGGCGGGGCTCTCTGTAAAATAAGGAGAAACATTTTTCAGAATATTATTTATAGCAATAATTATTACATTTATCATAAAAAATACAGCCGCTTTATGTTGCATTTTAACATAAAAAATAATTATCAACAGACACTTAGGCAGCATCCGAAAACGACGTCTTACTTTCAAGTAGAACACAACAAAAAGTAACACTCCTAAAAGAGTAATGAAAAAAAATGATCAGGATAACCAGATTAATCTTTTTGCAATATTCTGAAGTGTGGGTAGGGTAGAAATGTCTACTAAATAGCATTCTAATCATTTCTGTCTAAATAATATTATTAAATTCATAGTGGCCACATGCAGCAATAAAACAAGTTTTACAAACAATTTTTTTGGCCTCTCATCCACAATCAGCAATAGTCCAATCAGATTAATTCAAGCTTAGAATAAATAGATGTATTTCGCCTTCTGACTTATGTTAATTTTGGAAGACCATATACTAGGAAGATACCGAGCCATTAAAAGCAATATCTACTCATCACCAGAATGCCAACCAATGGAGACTACACAACACCACCAGCATGAGCTCTGCTCTTCCAGACATGGCAGCAGCGGGACAATGCCACACAGCCCTGCCAGGAATTGGACAAGTAACCGAGGCTCCAGTGAGAGGCTGCAGGCCCATGTGCATTACCACAGCTCAACACCGTCAGAATTCAACATCTCCAACAACCTCAAGCCATCGACTACCTTCACCTGCATAACGCCCAGCCCCCCTCCACACTTCTATCACCCATAATCCCATTAACCCCCTCATACATCAACACAATTTCTTCAGCCTACTACCAGCTCCAACTCTAATGTTTATCCCGTACCCGCCCACTGTCCTCCCTCTAGCATCACCTCTTTTTTCCCTTTTCCTCCCTTTACCAAGCACTCACTTCCAGCACTGATCCAGCCCAACATTCCACTGTTTCTACACAAATTTCTACCGCACGCCCCCCTTTCACCCTTTCACCCTGTCCACTGCCACACCCCACCCCTCCCGTTTCTCTGGAACCACCCCCAGTCTCAAATGCAATCAAAAACCTCATATTATCAGGTGCTGACATTGACCTCACCACACTCCTTTCACCAATCACACCCCCTACGGCAGAACGACAGGTCGATTTCGGAGAATTCACTCTCACCCTTTAAATCATCCACCACCATTCAAACTCAAACTCTCTCACTAGCAGAATTGTATGTAGCTTTTTCTAGAAAAAAATACCAAATGGGTAACTCATCTAGCAGAGCAAAGGAAAGTGCTTGCATCTCCGTGTTAGGATGAAAGGTGCAGCAAGCGTATTTCCACTCCTAGCCAGGTTTATTAATTTTTCCACCTAGAGATTATACAATCTTGCAAATGTATTAGGTGTCTCACAGCCCATGGCTCTACAGATGTCTGCTAGAGAGGCACTAGCCCCTTTCACACATACAGACCTTTCCGGAAAATTGCCGGCAATTTTCCGGAAAGGTTGTATGTGTGAACAGGTCCTTTTTGAAAATACCGGTAAATTCGTTCTGGCTTTTTACCGGAAAGAGAAGTTGTAAAATTACCGGCAATTTGCCGGAATGCTGCGCTGTGTGAATGCAGAAGGAAGATTGCCGTAATAAGCGCGTGCATGTCAAGAACGTGCTGACGTGAGACGTTTGCTTTAGCCAATCACAACAGTCAGACGCATTTACGTCCGCGCGGTTTGTAAAGATAAAAGCCTTTGACAATTTTTCCAGACACATTTAGCTGCTAGAAGTTAGTCAGATCACATTTATATGTTCATCTTAATGCCAACTGTGTAAATAATCATCGATGAGATGCTTATGATAAGCCGTTGTTTGTTTATTTTCAAGCTTTGCGTGTGCCTGTGATACAGCCTATGAGCGCCAGCACACGCACATATTATGAACATCTCGACATGCGAAAGTGATCCTGCGAAAGTTGTTCACAATATTGATCATCCACAGAGTTTGTAATTTAGTCAAATGTTTACAAACACAAGCGCAGCCGTTTAAAGCTCATTTGTGGTGAATGATGTCAGAATTTACCGGTATTTTGGAATGGATGTGTGAATGCTCTTTTCCAGAATATTTCCGTAACGTCCTCGCCTGTGTGAACAGCGCTTTTTTCAATATACCGGTAATGTCGTTCCGGAAATTTTCCAGATATTTACCGGTATCACTGTGTGAAAGGGGCTACTGTGTGCTAACACCCAAGAGGAGGCGAAACTCCTTGTACAGTGTGCTTTTACTCTTGGGGGAAACAGCTCACCCTGGCATTGATAAGCGAGGGTGATGGCATCTACTATGCCCAGCATGCCACCATCTATCGCGTTATGATGAGTGGAGATGGCAGTAACTTAAACTTTTAGTGTAAAGGGGACAGCCTTCACTCCAGTTCATCATAAAGAAAGAAAAGCACAACCCGGGGGTCTTCTCTGTGAGATGTACACCATTCGTCAAACAGACTCCACTTTAGAGTGTAGGAATGCCTCATAGAGGGTGTTTAAGCCTGAGTGATGGTGTTAACCATCGTTAAGTGCTCCGCCCCCGTCTAAGGACCACACGTAGAGGCTCTGGGTGTGGGTGCCAGATGGTGCCCTGTCCCTAAGAAATGAGCTATTTTAGGGTAAATTTACTCTTTATTGAAACTGCTGTTTTATGACAACCCAGTGAAATGCCCAGCAATGGGAGAATAGACCTAGCTCAACTGCCACCGCTCGCATTGTCCGTAGTGTATGTGTGTGAATGAGTGTGTATGGATGTTTCACAGTGATGGGTTGTGTCTGAAAGGGCATCCGCTGTGTAAAACATTTGCTGGACAAGTTGGCTTTTCATTCCGCTGTGGCGACCCCTGATTGACAAATGGACTAAGCCAAAAAGAAAATGAATGAATGTATACTGCATATTGGGTTCATGCTTGTGTTTGATTAGTTTACCCAGAATGCAGTGTTTCATTGATGTCAAACTTTAGATCAATTTTTTTTTTGCTGAAAAATGCCTCTCTAGATTATTTTACTCTATTATTCACATACACTGTTGAATCGGATGATGAATAATGTGAAATAAACCTGAGATTAAATACTGGATGAGATGGGTGAATAAATGCCATAGTCAAAACACTGTCAACATCACAATCACTTTTTCTCTGATTGATTTGTTACTAGTGAGTTTTTTTTTTAAAGCACAGTTACAACAGCCACAGAAACAAAAGTATATTATAAAGGCAAGGGTCAGGAGTCCAACAAACACTGATATCTACAATAGTGACTAGACCAAACATTAATGCTTAAATCGGCTAATGTTTTTTTTTTGTAGATCAGTTTAATCATCCTCTGCTGAGACCTTTAATGAGAGATTTGATGTACTTTTCAGTTGTTTAGTGGCTGCATGTTGTAGCTGCTGTGTTTTATTGTTGTCTGTGTGCCAGTAGGAACTGCAGTAAATCACAATTAGATTGACAGTTACTATGGACAGATGAACTTAAAGTTATAAAGATTTCAAAAAGATAATTATAAGATAAATCATACATTTTCAAAAAGCAAATATTACAAATGAAGTACATCAACTTACGTTACACTCATGCTCATCGCTGGAATGAATGTCCTCACAACAAATCTTTAGTCTCTCTCTCCAGCCTGCTTACAGCAAAACAGTGAAATCATGATACATGGGAAATAACTGTATCTTGCCTTTTATTTTAAATGCCTTTAAGCATTATTAAATATGCATTTTTGGGATGTTTGCACATGATTACAAACAGTTGCACATTAGTTTTTTTATTTTATTTTTTATAATAGCCATGTTAATAAAGGCTTTTACATTTTTTTCACTTATTTTATAAGTGCCTTAGATTGATTATTGTTTTGCATGCTGAAAGACAACTCATATATTAATGTAATCTTATAAATAAATAATAAAAGTCCCCCATCCACCAGTGTTTTAAATAGTCAATTGTTAAAACTTTTCATAAATTGTACTGCTTTGCAGGAAATGTGTTTTGTCTGCGCTGAAACTAAAACATTGACCGATCACAAATTATTCGTCAGCATGTTTTTTTTTTTTGTTTTTTTTTTTTTTTGTGCTTTTTATTTGTTTGTTTGGTCAAATTGACAAACTGGAAAAGAGTAATAGTGTTTATGATTTATTTAGGGATTCATTCACAGCCAAATCAGTAACAATATTTTAACCTCTTCCTAAATGTCAAATTAAACACATGAGTTTCCTACAAACTTTTCTGAAAAGCATGAATTCAAATGTTAAATTTAATGTACTATTAGATCACTACTTTACTACTGCAAGTTATAAAATGTGTCAAAGCAAATAAAATTCGTAGTCTCGTAGAATTTTAAAACCTACAATGAGTACATATTGTAAGTTTTAAAATGCATGATTAATTTAATATATAATGCATATTTGAGCATGTCAGAGTGCTTAAAAGAGCAAAGTCATAACAAACCTGCAAACCCAAGCTATTTTATAAAATCAGTGCCAAACTTTTAAAGAGTAAATAGTATTCAACTGCTCATAACATAAAGAGAAGAAAATGCTGATGTTTTTCTTACCTTCACAGAGAAAACAGGACTGTGAATAATCCAGAAGTGCAGAGGTACTGATTGTGTTTACTAATAGTAAATCTGCTTAAATTTGTCAAATAATAACTGCACTTGAAGATGCTTCTACAAGTACGAAACCATGTTCATGCTTAGTGATTTTAACCCCGGAAATGTTGAGGAATTTTATTAGTATTTTATGAACTCAACCTTTGCACTCAGTGTATGAATTCTGAGTAGTGTTTGACAGATAAGATTAAACAAATTTGCTCAGTCTTTACTGGTTCTGATATAACTTTTATTCAGTTTATTTAGAAAACTTGTTCTAAAATAATTTCAGTGTTCTTCATATTTAATAATTGGCAACAGAACAATCTTTCCCTGATCTGCAGGTACAGCTGCAAACACCTTTTTCTAAGCCTAAGCTCTACCCAAGCTAATTGAACTACAGAATCATAAACAGAATCATAAAGGAAAAATAGAAATGTGCAAAGAATCAAAGGTTCATTCTGGAAGATATTCAACAGATTTATAAGAGCTTTGAATCATTTCACTTTTATAGAGAGTCCAAAGTTAACCTAGCAACAATCCAGATGTACAGTAAGAGAAAGGGGTTATGAAATCTGAAACATAAAACATATTGACAGTCATACAAATGAGTAAAGTGAAAAGAGGAAATAAGACTAAATACAGCTGCCAAAGAAGATAGTGGATGTAATGTATCATTTTACAGTACAATCATGGGAAGTTTAGATAATCTTCTGGAAGAGACAGACAAAGTTGGTTATGGGCATAATGAGGGGGAAACCGGAGCACCCGGAAAAAATCCACGCTAACACGAGAAAAACATGCAAACTCCACACCAACTAACCCAGCCGGGACTTTAACCAGTGACCTTCTTGCGCTGAGGTGATTGTGCTACCCACTGTGCCACTGTGCTGCCTTTTTTATTATAGGAGTATGTTCTGTTTTATGTAAACTTTATAACGGCTTTGGCAATACGTTTATAACATTTGTCATGCCAATAAAGCAATTATTGAATTGAATTGAATTAAGAGAGAGAGGGTTATGGAAATGAAACTTTTCACTTGTGGACTTACTTTTGATTCTACTGTCATTACCTTTATTCTTTTTTATATATTACCATTAATCTATTTTTATTTTTATTAATCTATATTTATTTAATTTAAATATGTGTTTTCTCTGTGTATTATATTTCATATTTATATTTGTTTGCAATACTGCCCTTTTTGTCTTGTTTGTAGACAGCAACTCTGCACTGCTTCGGCAATTCAAATGTACCGTTATTTGTCATGTCAATAAAGCACCTAAAATGTCAAATGTGAAATGAGGGCGTACTCACACTGCGCTATCCGAACCGTGCCCAGGCCCGTTTCCTGGATCACTTGAGAAGTGTAAGCACTCTGAATTGGGCTCAGGCACGGTTCACTTGGCTGGTCCTGGCCCGGTTGGAAGAGTTGTGCCAAAGCGTGAAGTGTGAAACAAAGCGCACCTGAGCCCGAAACTAAAGATGAGACGAGACTTTTGCTGGGCTATTTCATATGGATTTATTAATCATTCTTACTGTTCACTGAACGCAAGCTGTCGTGGATTATTAAAGACGCAAACCCCTCACTGCACAACAGCTGCACCTTCAGCAAACCTCCTAACTCCTGACTACTACAAGCTGAGAAAACGTCAGATGAATATGCCACTGCAATTAACATTATTGCTGAATAGATCTAATATTTACACATTTGCTTGAGGAAGTAATGATGGGGGTAGTTACATTACTATTACTATTTTCCATAACATCTATGCCCTTCCATAACATCAGCTTACGTTAAAGCTAACAGATAGCACTATAGCTATTTATTGATTAGCAATGTTATGCCATATCTTTCAACGTTGAATATTAAAAATATGGGACAACAAATAGCTTTAAATGATAGAATACACAGCAAACATTAGAAAATATTGACAATAAAATAAAAGGTTTAACCTATTAAAATAAATGGCCTATACAGAATTTAAATAAAGCAATAAAATCTACTTCACTTTTGATTGTATTTGCTTATTGATTAAAGTTCCTATAGTTATTTAGTGAAGAGCAGCTAGTGAATCTCTCATTGGGTTTTGTTCGATATCAGAGGTCTTAAAGTAAGAATGCAAAGATCTATAATGAAGCATTCGACTACTTTAGTAACTGTTTGTGCACATTTAAGAGAAAATTTGTTGTGTTTAAAATAAAAAACGCAGGACGAAGCAAAAAAAAAAAAAAAAGAAGCACTCTTCCGATGGTTCCTTAGAAAGAGCTCCGTTCTACACGAGCTCTCCTGGCTAAACGCTTATTGCGAGGGCTTAAACAGAGCAGTTGTCGTAATGTCGAGCAAAAAAAAGAAAAAGACAGCTGTGAAACACAACCAGCTGTGTCTTTGTGTAGGAAACACACTTTAGATCTTTTTAGGGTAAGAGGTTTTTGAGTTATTGCTGTCTATCAGTGAATGTGTCCGGTCTATCAAAAACAAAACCAACTTAACCGCGCTCATTTCTGGTGCCCCCTGGAAATACAGCGCCCTTAGCATTTGCCTATATTGCCTATGCCACGGGCCGGCACTGCTAGGAACTAATGTAGTTTTGTTGGATTATAAGTAAAACAAAACGAGTATTGCAATAAATCGTTTTTATTTTTTTCTCCTTAACCTCTTACTGTTCCTGTTCCCTATAGAATAAAAAAAATAAGTCAAGCCCTGAGAACTGAACCAACCCGAAAACCGTGTTAAAAAACCGAGGTATGTACTGAACCGTGGGCTAACTGTATTGTTGCATCCCTAGTACATAGTGTGAGTACACGCTGAAAGAGAGACATTTTCATGTTTTATGGGGATTTCTCATAGACATAATGCTGTTTATACTGTACACAGTACATTGACTGTATTCTGTATGCTCCTTCGAACAACCCAAACCCTCACATTCATTTTCCAAATGGGTCTCAAACAAATGTCTCAATGGGGTCAAAAATGACTTTTGTTGCTGTGCATGTGGAGGTGACGATACCAATGCACTCTTTTCTATACACACTAGGGGCCCTATCATACACCCGGCGCAGTGTGGCGCAAGGCGTGGCGCAATAGTCTTTTGGTAGTTTCAGCTTGGCGCAAGAGTGGTTTTGAGGCGTTGCGCTACGCTGTTGAAACAGCAAATGCATTAGCGCTTATTTGTGCACACATAGACGTTCTGCTCTAAAAAGGAAGCGTTCTGAGGCGGACCGCTGGCGCGTTGCTATTTTGAGAAACTATAATAGATTTTTTATTAGACAAAAATTAACCCGGTCTAAACTCCGGCGCAGAGTTGCGCCTCGCTTACACACTGCTTAATACACACAAGAGAGCAATAGGCAAATATCTTTACATATGAAAAAAAAATGTAAATATTAAGGATATATGTAGGATATAATAAGAATAGATATAGGATATAAATATAAAGGATTAAAATATTACAAAACATATTATTTTCTAGCCTACATAAATATGAAAAATCACTGCTTTTATGTCTTCTTCATCTCGGGAGGCTTTTTCAGTTCATTCATTACTATTTGCTTTTGTATAATGTTATTATTATTAGCAGTATTATTTATTATATCCATATTTATATTTGTTTTATTAAAACAAGCTTAGATTTGCCCACCTGTCAGGTTTTAGACCATATGGGGCACAGCATGTGTTTTAGGATATAACTCAGGTTTTTGCAAGTGGTGCTCGCTGCAGAGCCATTTGGGCGAGCTGAGCTCCAGCGAGGGGGAGCTTCAGCTTCAGCTCCACCTTTTTTGCACTTCTTCTACGAGTGATGTCACTGGGGGTAGGGTTAGGGGTGGGGTTGGTGTACGCATTAAAACAGCTTACAGGAGGCAGAACGAGAGCTCATGCTCCCCCTCGCTGGAGCTCAGCTCTGCTCAAATGGCTCTGCAGCGAGCACCCTCTCGGTTTTTGAGCTCATTTTGTTATTATTGTTCATTTATTCGTTTGCTGGAAATTAGAACTGAATTTAGAAACAGTTTTGAAATGAATATTCGCGCTTAACAAACGCAATTAATTATTTATAGGCTAATTGATGTCTGTGCATAAAGGTTTCCCTATCCAAGAGCGAAAGTGAAAGTAGATCCATTATCTCTCATTCTCACGCAGTAGATGCTCTGTTTAACTGTTTTCTGTTAAAAAACTGTCAACTGTGAACTGTTTGCTTGAGAAATGCTCATTTTTTCCACTTAGACTTACTTTACGTCTTGTAAATAGCGAATGTGCTCTTGGCTCTTGACTCTTAAAGGGAATGGGAGATGAGACTCTGATTGGTTTATTCTCAAAACACACCTATAACTCATTAAGAAAATAAACTCAGCCCTTTTAGACCATGCGCCTTGGCGCAAAGCAAATTTCCCGTCCTTAAATGAGCAAAAACGCGTTCTGACACGCCCTGAAAGTGTTTGCGTCCTGCGTTTTGCGCTCTGCGCATGGACCGTCAAAATAGAGCCCTAGGTCTTAATGAATAACCTGATTACATGAAACATAATTTAACTTAACATAAATCCAAATTAGTTTAGCAATTAACACTGTATAAACAATACGGGGCGTCGCGGTAGCTCAGTGGGTAGCACTATCACCTCACATTAAGAAGATCGCTGGTTCGAGCCCCAGCTGGGTCAGTTGGTGTTTCTGTGTGGAGTTTGCATGTTCTCTCCGTGTTGGCGTTGGTTTCCTCCAGGTGCACCATTTTCCCTCACAGTCCAAACACGTGGTGTAGGTGAATTAATTAAGCTAAATTGGCCTGAGTGTATGTGTGTGAATGCAAGTGTAGTGGTGTTTCCCAGTGTTGGGTTGCAGCTGGAAGGGCATCCGTTTTGTAAAACATATGCTGGATAGGTTGGTTCATTGCACTGTGGTGACCCCAGATCAATACAGAGAGTAAGCCGAAGATAAAATGACTGAATAAACACTACATAAACATTAATTGTTTATACATTTATTAATTTAGCAGATTTTAATCTAAAGTAAAAACAGTTAAATAAAAAATAAAATAACATAATAACTCTAATGTGTTCCCTTTAATTGTGTCTATAAATGTGTGACAAACTCCTTAACTCCACTGAAGAGCAAAATACACTGTCATGGAAGTAAGCCAGAGACAAAAATAAATAAATAAATAAATAGCAAAATGTTCAGAAACATTTTTGTTAATGTCCAGATTTGAGAGAAAAACTGGTAACACTTTACAATAACAGTACATGAATAATGATGTACTGTTTTGTAAACTTATTATGAATTATTGATGAGTTAAGGCGCGCACTAATCATTAACTAAGTTTAACTTAAACATGATTCACATGAGTTCATGTGTGAATTAAGGTAGCCGCCATTCACACATGAACTCATGTGAATTACGTTGTAGTTAAAGGCAATTCATAATTAGTGCATACTTTAACTCATCATTACTTCATAATAAACTAATGTTTAGTTTACATATTAATACATCATAATTCATGTACTGTTATTGTAAAGTGTTACCGAAAAACTGAACATACACAAAGACAGGAACGAGAAACAACAATATACTGATAACTAGCAGTGAACCACTGACTGAATATATACCCAGCAAAACAGGCAGCAGCAGGAGCACACCAAATAAGTCAGCTGCTCTGTGCGTACACTGCCAGAGCTAAAGGCAGACACACCCACCCTCACACACACGACATGACTCATATCATACAGAAAAAATACACAGACCCACAAACTGACGGATCTCCCGAGAAGAGTTTTAAATGTTTAAAGCGTGTAATCTGCTTGTAGTTTTGCAGACGTGATCTAAAATTTAGGTATATGCGTGAATGGTTAAGTGTGTGTCATGTACACATCTTTTTCACAGCAATTCCTGTCTAACCCGCTCTGGAGAAGGACAAAGGGATGGAATGAGGAGGAGGAATATATCGAGTTACTGAAAGTGAGTTGTCAGCTTGCTTTAAATAGGTTGGAGCTCGTTGTCTTTCATTTGGAGATCCGCAAATGCTTAAAAACTGAAACAAATCGTCTGTTTCTGTTCCTGCTAAGTTTGATGTAATGTCTGCTGATTTGCTGTAAAACTCATAGTTTCTCTATTTCAGTGCATGCATTGTATGGTTTGTAGGACTTCAAGTTTCATCACATCGTTCATTAAGACTTAAAACTATCAAGACGCTCGATCGAGACTAAAAGGTGGGTTCATGTACTAATGAAACTTACATCTGAACAGTTTGCAGTAAGTGAAACTGTACTAATGTACTAATGAAACTTACATCTGAACAGTTTGCAGGTAGTGAAACTGTACTAATGTACTAATGAAACTTACATCTGAACAGTTTGCAGGTAGTGAAACTGTATAAATGAAACTTACATCTGAACAGTTTGCAGTAAGTGAAACTGTACTAATGTACTAATGAAACTTACATATGTACAGTTTGCAGTAAGTGAAACTGAAACCAGACTCAATAAATAAACACATTTACTACATTTCAAATTTACATTGTTTTAGTCTGCACTGTAAAATGCTGGGCTCTACACAACCCCTTCATCTCATCTCAACACAAATTAAAGTTAACTTAAAGGTGTTTACAATTTTAAGTTGATTGAAAAAAAAACAATTAAGCTGTCCGTTAAATATCTCAAGAACTGTTTTTCAGCTCATTTAAAATAATTAGCTTGAATAAGCAGCAACAATATATTGATTGTAATGTGTTTGTTGTTTTGATGTGATATTATAGTGTGTCGTATCACTGTATCTGCTTAATACTGAACACTGATAGATTTATAAGATTTTGCCAAAAGCAAAACCCTTATCAATCCTACAAACAAAATTAAACATGACAATTAATGCACAAAATTAATGGAAGTAAAAAAAAAAAAGTATTTGAAGTAGAAAAATGCAGATTATTAGAATTTCATTTGACGCTCACAGTTGCTGATGGCCAATTAATGTTAGAATCTGGTATTGTCTCAGATATTATTGACACGTCTCCACTGAGCTGTTTGACTCATCAATTGACATCAATAATAGCATTTATTTTTATCTTAGTATGTCAGAGCATTATTACATTGTGTGTTGATCAATCGGTTTATTGGGCAGCATTAAATTATTAAGAAGGAAAGAATTTACAAAGAAAATATAAATAAATAAATAAATAAATAAATATAGCAGAAAATGTACAGTATTTTCAAAATTAATCTTGACTAACAAACTCTTTATTTAATAATTGATTTTATAATTTTAATTAATTTTTATAATATGAAAGGGAAATATCAAAGCTGTTTGTGGTCATAAACACTGTTCGTTAAGACCATTTATCATTCAATATTACTTTTTTAACATTAATATATATATATATATATATATCTTCCATTCATACGCACGCGAATGCGTCAGACCGGAAACGCGGGGTCGTGCGTCAAATTTCGCAGGTTGCTGCGGTGCAAAGTTCAAGCTTGGTGAACTCTGACCTGCAAAATTGCATCACTTGACTGCGTAAGAACAATTGAGGATCAAAACACATCCTCTCTGGACAGAAATTTAAAACATGGAGCAATCGCTCGCTTTTTTGAATGTCTAGTAAGCTTTTTAATTAAAGTTTAATTCCGCCCCTTTTCGCAGTGCGGCACAACAGAATATCGCATGCTCAAACTCTAATGTGACCGCAGCTTTACTATTGTTTTTTTTTCTTTTGGCTTTTCATGCTATACAAATAATGTGATTAACACAATCACTTATAGCAGCCAAAATAAGAACTGCATGATTAAGTTGCGGTCACACTGGACTTTTCTCCCTATAGACTTCCATTCATATGCACACGAATGCATCAGAGCGGAAATGCAAGCTTGTGCCACAAGTTTTGCCGTTCAATATGTTGCAAGTTTTAAGCTTGGTGAACTCTCACCTGCGAAATCGCATCACTTGACTGAGTGAGATTAATCGAGGATCAAAACATGACCTCCTTGGACAGGAATTAAAAATATAGACTAATCACTCACTTTTTAAAATGTCTAATCATTTTGTTTAATCCCATCTCTTTTCACAGCTCTGTACGGCAGAAGTTCACAAAAACGAACTCTAGTGTGACTGCGGCAGTAATCGATTTTAAATCGAAATTGCAATTTGAAGAGTTGCAAAAGCTGCGATTATTTCAATTATTATTATGGTGAGGGAGATGAGAGTGAGTAATTAAAGCGATCCAATTAACATTATTTAAAAAGCAGACAACTGTCACAGCAGAACCAACAAGCCCCTATTTCACTGCGATGGAGACGAAATGAAAACTGTAAACTCCATCTCTACTCCTCTCTCTCTCGCTATGTGTGTGTGTGTGTGTGTGTGTGTGTGGACCTTTGAACTGCTTGTCTCTTGGCTTTTACAGCGATACTTATGGACAAACACACACACACACACACACACAAGCGTGTAACTCTGCAACACATTTTTCTCCACTGCATATATCATGGCTCAGCTGTGATAACCGCACATTATTATGCCAATATACTATAACAGCGGCCGTTTATCTGTATCTGTGACACTCATCTGTAAATAATACCAAAGCAATGCTGACCGTTGGAGCCAATCACAGACCTTTCTGTTGAGTGCGGGAACACAATGACATCTAATGTGTTTAAAAGCTTGCTGGACAATGCAAAGAAAGCAAGTGGGATAACATTTATTATATCATATTAATATTGTATACTACTAACCCAAAAAACACACCTACTTTACAGACAAGTACACCAATAAGTGTACAAATTGAGCGCATCGGTGGTTCAGTCAGGCAACAATGTCAGAGTTCAGGTGTGGGAAAACAGAGGGCTCAAATGCATGAATAAAGATGGGTTTATTATTATTAAAAATAAAAGAAAAAGAAAACAAAAACTACCATGAGGGGGAAAACATTAACTAAACAAACTTTAACGGGCTGGCAGAAAAGGACAGGAGAAAGCAAGACCAGATCATCAGGACAGGATAACGATGAACTGGCACATTACAACAGATATGAGGAAGCTATAAACAAGAACAAATCAAGAGACAAACTGGTGAACAGAACAAACTAATAATGGGAAAACAAGATAGATGAAACAAGACAATAGACAGGAGAAAGAGGCAAACACAAAACCATGAACATGCCCATGTGCTACACACAATGGTGACATACTGTATTTAATGGATGAGTTAAAATGTCCTCCTATAAATTATATAATTCATTTCTTAAGTTACATTATTAAATATTCAAGTTAAACAAATAATTAATTTCTCTAATATATCCAGCCAGGTTTTAGTGAACTTGCAAGATGGTCAAAAACACTTCTGCATCTTCCTCTCTTTTTAAACTCATAAACACTTCAGGAGATCAGCCACTTTAACGAGTACCGAGTCATAATATGAAATGTATTTATTGGCCATATTAGTATTTTTCTTAGTTGGATGACAACATAATTGTTTTAAATAAATATCACTGATAAATTCTAAATACATTAGGAAAATGCACCAGAAGTCAGTGGTTACAGGTTTCAAACATTGTTCAAAATAAATATTTTCTTAAGTGTTTAACAGAATAAAAAAAAAAAAAATGGTTTGGAACAAGCCCAGGGCAAGTAAATGATAGCAGAACTTTAATTTTTTTGCACTTTCTGCATTAAAAAACATCAAATCATCACAAATTTTGTTTACATTAAGTAAATAATCATTGTTCATGTACGTCAGTTCAGGTTAATTTAACAATTGTCACAGATTGCAATAATGTATGTTGTGTGAAATATAAAAACAGATAATATATCCATTAGTGTTTTTTTTTTTCTTAATCACAGCAACAAGTTCATCATTCAATTTCCATCTGAGCAAAAGCAAAAGAGTCTCCAGCAACAATGGAGTAAGTTGATGTTCATATGCATTTACTCTCTGTATATGTACTTTTTTTTAATAACAAAGTAACAAAACATTGTTATTATTTGTTGATCATATCATTTTACGACAACATTCAGGTTCCAGTTCACTAAATAAATCAACATGAACTAAACTAGATAAAATGACTTTCAAATGTTTTTTACAGCATTTAATCATCTTAGTTGCTAATTTCAACCTTTACTATTATGCAATCAAAATTTAAGTTCACTATTTCCTTTGTATCCCCACTTCCATATCTATTTATTCATTTTTTTATTACTTCTAAATTGGCATTTATCTACTTATTAGTAAATGATTATTTCATATATTTGTTATCATTTTTTATGATCTGCTTTTGTAGTCGATATGGGCTACTACCCATGTCACAATTTATTTAAAAAGTAGATTTTAAATGAATGTATTTTTAAAAGCACATCCTGGTAATTGTGAATAAACATGCCACAAATATTGTTTTGAATCAGATTAACTGTACAAGTCATTTCAACTTACATTAAACTCACCTAAACCATCTCAAGATGTATTTAGTTTCATAAAGTATGTTTAACTAAGTAACAAATATATTTTTACACTATTATTTTTTACAATTTTATTATTATTACTTTTACACTATTGTTATTATTTGTTTTCTTCTAGATCTGAATTTATTCATCTCAAGGAGAAATTTCTTTCTCTTTATAATCGTGATTTTGCTGAACTGGAGCGGTCCACAAAGAAACTGCGCAGAATCATGAGTACGTTTGAAGAAGACTTCAGAAGCGCTACTGAAGGCCTTAGACTTGAAGCAATGGCATTAATAGCTGTAGGAGCCACTGTGATTGCTGGAATTGCTTTAGCTCCATTTACTCTGGGGGCATCTGTTGCTCTCTCAGTAGCAGCACTAGCTGTGGCTGCAGCTGGTGCAGTCAGAGGTGCAGTGTTCAATGTGAAAAAAATACTGCAGCAAAAAAATATAAGAAAAAATATGGATGCAGAATTGAAGAAATTTGAGCTAACCATAACTCCAATAACTGATGTACTAGAGAACCTTAATCATTGTACTGTGGAAATATCGAGAAAGTTTGCTAAATCAGAGAATGACTTTGGCTTATTGGGTAAATTGTGTTTCTCTGGCATTGAAGTAGTTCGCATTGCACCGGCAAGGGACATTAGTAAAGTGGCTGCGGAAGTGTCGAAGACTGTGCGACTGACTACAGCTCTTACAGGAATTTTTGAAGGGACTGGACTTCTATTTGACCTCCTTACATTTCTTGAATATGACAAGACATTCGATGACATGAACAGACCTACCTTAATTCGTGGCCTAATAGATGAGACTGAAATGAAGTCAAAAGCTGGAGAATTCATTGTTAAAATGAGGAGAGTCATTACTGATTTAGAAACCATCATTGAAGAAATCAGAAAGACAAAAGAGAAACTGTCAAAACTAAAAATCCGTCGACTGCAAATTTCTTGGCCGATTCTGATAATACTGCTACTGCTGCTGCAGTTGTTACAAATAATAATATAATGATAAAAAATAAATCATGATTAAAAAGAAACAGGAGTTTCCCCCAAACTGCATTAACATGTGATTTTCCATTTAATTATCTCATTTCACAAATGTACAAAGATAAACATATTTGCTTATCATATTTTATTATATACAAAATTTCTGTCTGGTTCTCGAATCTGATTGGCTGATAGCCATGCTATATTCCCGTAATAACAGCACTTGTAGAGCCTCCTCACCCTTGTGTATTACTCCGCCCACATGGAGTCACAGCAAATCAATAAACTCACTAGAGTATGACAAATATTGCAGCTGTTGGACAACATATGGTTGAGGCTTTTTTAGTCGAGAATGTAGTTGTCTAGATTGCAACTAAAGTTTATTTATAAGGACAGTGCCTTTTTTAAAATATTTATAATTCAGTTATTATGATATGATTCAGTGTATCGGCATCCATCAGCCTGTCATACTGAGCAGAGCAAAGAGGGTTGACATTCTGTCATAAGATGGCGACAGACACTGCATAATAAGTCCTTTGATGAGATAAACTCGGTGTAATTTTACAGCTGAATAAATCTTTACAAAACTGGCAAGTGACACTAAGTAGGTTGGCCTTCTGTTTGTTTCTAATGAGTTTCCTGTTTTCCTGTTACAGCAGGCTAGTTCAGTAAAAAGAAAAAATGCCCGCATGTTCTTAGCGCAAACACAACAGTGATCTAGTAGTGTCTGCTTTTGCTTTTTCAGGGTTAATTATTGTGATCTCCTGATTGCAACCTACTAATATTGGGAAATCTCTGTAGACTGATGACATTTCATGCCGTTCAGCCTTATAATCTTAAAATGACAGCAAAATCACCTTATTTACCATTACGCTGGAGAGTGCTTCAAACACTAGCTCTAAATTGACGTTGGTGAATTAGTAACGGCTTCTGCTGTTCTGATGTCAGCTGCAGATGTGAATAAATGGTGGAAGAAAGTAGTTCCTCATACAAAAGGGTTTGAGACTCTCCCTGTTTGTTTTTCTTTTTTATGCACAAGATGATGCTGTCAAACTATTGTATGAATGCAACACACTTGTAGCAATGCGATATGGCTGTATATTGTCACTGTTGGGACCCTAATAGCCCATTTCCATACTGGTCACCTTTATCAAGCTTGAGTTTCCACTGCCAAAAGGGAACCCTTTTGGTAGGTGTGGTGTATGACAGAAAGTTTCAGAAGATGTCATTTTTACTCAAGGAAATGTCACAGAAAAGCTTCACAGGTCGTTCACATGTCATATAAGAAGCTCTTCTAACAAAACATATGCTTTATACACATACATACTGTGTATAAATGTTTATTACTAACTTTTCTATGAACATGATTTGTTTAAAACTGCAGATCAATGACCTATAAATAGCCTACTGTAACGTCTGCAAATATATGAAATAAATAACATATATGAACACATACCACCTTTTACAGTCTATGATATGTTACCAATTACAGAAAAAACTACACACAGCAGACATTTAGTGCTTATTTGAGTTCAAAAACAACACAAAATATAGCCCACAGTCCGAGAAGACCTCTCATCTGTGTCTGTAATCTTTAGCAGCGTGTGTAACCTCTGTTAGAAAGTAATTCTGTCATTCTGAGTTCATAATAGTCCAGAAGGTGATGATAATAGTTAAACATGACAGTTTGCTCATGTTTTAGGTTTTTGATGCAACATTTGCTGCTGTTTTTTTACAGCTTCTTCTTAGTTTTTTAAAGCTTCACTCTCGTGTTTGTCTGCATCTGAAAGGCTTGAATTTCAGAGCGCTTCAACAATCACAAGCAGGTTATCAATATCAAAGCTCAAAAAGTTTGTCATTTCAAATATAGACGCCTGACGAGCGATCGTGAGAAAGTGAAACTGCTCGCGCTTTAGATGGCCTTGTGAAAAACTACAGGGCAAAGTGTAATTCTGTTCTTCTTGGCTTTATAGCTGTTCATCAAGATGACAAAAAGGTTTGTTTGAGCCTGGGTCGACCATGGCTCATTAATATATGTAAACACTATATTATAATGGTGTAATGTCTTGGTTGTGTATTTAAAAAATGGCGCTTTCTTTGCTTTCATTCTCCTGCTCCTGCGAGCATTTTGCTTTTATGTACGCTTTGACAGTATAAGCGGCCATAAAAGCGTACTGAACCTTACCATACCACTCAGTGCAAATGGTCCATAAGGCACTTAGCGAACGCAGACCTCCCTAGAGTGCCGATATGCAACCATATCACACTGCTACCCATGTGATTAAGCTCATAATAGATTTTGTTTAATTTAATAATTGTCAGGGCTTGACAGTGTAAACATTTCACTCTGTTACATCTCTTAGATGTACTTATTATTATTATTGTTTATTTATTGTGTGTTTACTGCCCATTGAGAGTGCTTATGTTGTGTGCTTGTGTTTTTCTTCCACTCTTCCTATGTGTCTCTCTAGCTGCCGTCCGTTTGTTTTGGTTTAGACGGCAGCCTCCGTGAGGAGCTGCCGTCCCTGTTATTAATAATTCATTTTAAAACTCCGCCGGTTCTCCGCCTCCTTCTTCCCGGCCGCCAAAGGGCCGTAAATTTCATTACAGTGGTGCCGAAGCCCGGGAGAAGGAGGGACGCGTTGTCCAGATGCCCTCGCCGCTGAGAGAGGGGGCGAGTGTTCGGGAGTTAACCCGAGTGGGGGAGAAACCCGTTCGTCTGCCCAGAGTGCCGGGGCGGCCTGAGGCTGGCGAGGAAAGTATCTGCCTGCTGCCGTCTCACAGCATGGGGAGGAGCAGGGGACGCGGGGCTCATCACCGGAGGGGAAAGTGCTGAAGGGAGCCATCCCACAGAACCCGGGGGCGTCGCCGCGATCCGCCATGATGCCAGAGCCTGCATCCGTCCACCGAAGCGGGAGCGGAGCAGGAGACCAGAGATGCCGCCAGCCAGCCAGGAGAACCGCCGCCGGACACCAGAAGACAGACGGGTGGATAGATTCCTCCACAGGGCTCCCAGCATGTCGTCGCATCTCTCAGCTGGTGGAGGACCGAGTGGCAGCGTGTCTGGAGAACCGAACCCCAATTTTCTCCCCTTTTGGTCTACTCTGTCTTTCCTCCTCTTTTTTTTCCATCTCCTTTTCTCTCGGCCGTCTCATATAGGTCTCGCGGGTGCTGTGGCGCCAAACCCCCCCTCCCCGGAGTATGCACAGCCACGGGGTGCCCCCGGCCTGTGATGGGAGATGGGGGTATGTGGCGAGGGGGCGTGGCCGAGAGCCGTGGGAACGGAGTGAGGCCACCGCGTAAGTGGATACACCACGGAAGGAGCTCTGGACGATAAAAGGAGGAGCGATGGCAAAGGAAGCCAACAGAGGACCGGGCCCGGGCATTTTACTTTTGCTTTCAGTTTGACGGCAGTCTCCGTGAGGAGCTGTCGTACGTTTGTTTTGGTTTAGACGGCAGTCTCCATGAGGAGCTGCCGTCACTGTTATTAATAAATCATTTTAAAACTGCGTCGGTTCTTCGCCTCCTTCTTCCCGGCGGCCAAAGGGCCATAAACTTCATTACAAGTGCATTTTAATTACCTGGATGATGCACTCATTCAGCCGGTAAAATGAAGTGTGTAATGATGGACACTTCATGCACTCAATGACCGCAGGTTTGCTCATGTTGCGAAAGAGGTGAAGCTATCGGACGCACATGTTGGATAACTTTATTTATTTTGGATTGTGAAAGCAAAATTCTCCTACGAGAGTGATAGCGTAGGATCGTCAATAACTAAATCCAGCTAACTGAGTAATCCAGGTACGAAGAATGGACCCCAGGGGTCTGTTCTTCGTACTTCGCTTAAATGATCTAAGATGATTTGGCAGATCCTGGATCTTTTAATCTTGATAACTGATCTCTCGCTAATTTGGTTCTTCAAACAAGTTCGTGAATCAGATTAGAATGTCTGGATAAACTGATCTGAGATCGCTGTGTGTGTTGTGAAGGACAGATCTATCGATCCTCGAAATCATGATAAGCAATGCAGCGATTGGCTGACGGCACAGCAGCGTAATGACATCATCTGATTAATATTCAATTATCCATGTGAGCTAAATTACATCAAATTAGCAGTAAACGGTTTGTTAAATATGACACGCAATAACCTTCCACATTTGTTGTGAGCTGCAGGCTTTACACTTTCATGTGTCAAGAGTATTCATCATGTATTTCAATGCAAATCAATGTATTTAGTTCTACATTTAGAAAAGATTTTCTTTATTACAGTAGCTGTTTTTTAATCGATCGGTGTAAAGAATAACTGGTTGTTTACAAAAGCATTTTCATATTGGTAAAGGCGTCTGCAACTTTTGTGAAGCATCAAATCACTGACATATTAACTATCAAAATATGTTTATGACTGCATAAATGTATTATTGCTTTAAAAAAAA